AAGGACCAGATAGAGGAGGTCAAGGCGAGGTGAAAGGATCTAACAATGCCTAGAGGGGGTGAATAGGCGTATCTAAAAATTAATTGCAAATGCTAAGTTCAAATTTGTCAGTCAATGTCGGAAGTCCCAGCGTTTGGGTTAGCTGTGAATGAGTCCGTAACGGTTAGAAGTGGAGAGAGGGGTATATATACTCCAAGTGAAAATCTAACCATTCAGATCTACGTCGGAAGTTCCGACGCAGATCTCGAGACTTTCGACGTTAACCGAAAGAACTGTACACACAGGGTCAGAAGTCCGCGCGTGCAAGTCATTGTCGAAACTCTCGGCAAATGACAGGACTTCCGACGTACGTCGGGACTTCCGACATGCGCAGTTAAACAACCAGCCAGCACCGCAGCAGGTGTCAGGACTCCCGACATGGGTCAGGACTTCCGATGTGCGCAGATAGCCGGCCAGCAGTACCACTGATGCCGGGACTCCCGGCTTGGGTTGGGACTTCCGACTGTCGGGACTTCCGACGTCCACAGTCACTGCGCAGGTTAAGTGACTGGGAGTCAGAACTTCCGACATGAGTCGTGACTTCCGACGGTCAGGAGTTCTGTCTTACGTCGGGATTTCCGACACCAACAATCATAGAAAAATAATCTACGTGCTCGTGGAGTGCTAGAGTGTCTCTCTTTTGATTTTATTTTTATGCTTGAGCACTCTATCTTCCTCAGACCAACTAAGTTTGCATCCCTCTTTATAGTGCGGTGGATCTGAAACTCAAAAGCAAAAATAAAACCTTTGGAGAGCGCTTTGAGTTCGTCCACCTTTACAACTTCAAAATTTGAGGGATACCATTTCATCTTTATCAACTCTTTGATTCTTTCATGGGACTAATAGCTGCGACATATCTCATTAAGATCACATTAGTCCCTAATTTGGATGTCATCAATACACCAAAAACCATATATTAGTCAAATGCACTTTCATGAGGTCATGAATACAAACAATTAAACTAATTTAGACCTTGCCCCAATTTCACTAGCACGGCGACGCACCTGGCCGGCGACGAGAAAAACCAGAAATTGGTCGCCAGTAGTGCTTAGGTGCGCCGAGGTGAGGGTCGGGCTGCTAGCTGGCTTTCCTGTCTAACTACTGGAACGCTGAATTGAGGTGTGGTGTCCCTAACCGTACGTATTTATCGTGCGAAGCGGGCGATTCTGTCGGCGACAAGGCAGGCGGGGGTGGCAGCTCTTCAAGGCTATGTCTGCTTCGGTCGAAGCCGCGTTAAAGAAATAAGACGTCCGTACGGGGAAGACTCAGAGAGAGAGCGTCGTGAAGCGCCGTGATGGGACTGCTCGGCCATGGCAGGACGCGGGCGGCGGCAGTGAAGCAGCGATCGAGCGTGGGGCCGATGCAACAAAATGATGCGAGGGAGGGTAGTGACACCATGACACGGGCATTAGTGTGACGTGACTACGGAGGCCGACAGCGGCTCGGCGAGTAGGTGATTCGAGCGGCGGAAAGAGAGCCACATCGGCATGATGAAGGCCGCTGCGACATTGGCTTGGCCCTGCGCACGACCTGGCCGGCAGTGCACATGCGACAGAGACAGTGCCATCGGACAGGGCTAGGCAGTGGCGCAAGATTGCAGAGAGCACGGACACGATAGCACCGACAGCAGGGACAAGCCCACGCGTGCGATGGCGAGAAGGGCAGCAGCCGTACCATAGCACGAGGCGGGAAGGGCGGCAGCTGGGGCAGTAGCACGATGGCCAGCAGTTGCAGGGCAATGACAACGGCCCGCTGGAGCTGGCCACGACCAACCCACGGCTAGACAGGCCAACCGGGGTCGGCACCATGGCGTGCGAAACGCGGCCAGCCACGCGACGCCGAGCGGCCGCGTGAGGTGACCGTGCTCCCGAGCCAAGCATATGACGTGCACGAATTTCAAAGCACGTCTAAAAACTATCCTAACACAATTGAAGCTAATCTACCTCGACCATGCTAACGAGGGCACATCAGTCTACCATAAGGAGCAAAAACACGCATTGACCTTTAGCTAGATTTTCGAGAATTAATTCGCCAATATGGCATTGTCACATTGTTTTCAAACTTAAAATTTCTTCCAAATCTTCAGCTAATTTGACTTCAAGTTCCATTTCCAAGCCATTAGAAATACGTCATATTATTTTTCTAGAGCAAGAGTTGCATTGTCATCTACAAAGTTTGTACTTTAAACCTTATTTAAGTATCACACATATGTTCTATAGTATTTTTGCTTAATAAAAATTGATTTTCAACAATACTTGATATACGTGAGCTATTAAATCAACAATCGTTGAACATTTTTATTGGTTATTTTAGGCTTCAAAAAATTTATCAACACCTTCTATCACATGCATTATTACATAAACATGATGCTTATGGCATGATTTAATAGTTTGTTTAGGGCGTAACACCGAGGGTATTACACAGAGTTCGGTCAATGACTGAGGCCGCGCCTTCTCTGCTGATGATGACCGGATGAACCCAAGCAGGGTCTGATCCAGAGTCCGGTCACTGAAAACGCCTCCTTTTCAACTCCAACTTCTCCACCCTTGCTCCCAAGTGCTAACCACCAAGTGTATCACCATTGTGCACGTGTGTTAACATTTTCACAAAGCATTTTCAAGGGTGTTAGCACTCACTAGAATCTAAATGCATATGCAATGAGTTAAAACATCTAGTGACACTTTGATAACCGCATTTCACGATGAGTTTCACCCCTCTTAATAGTACAACTATCTATTATAAACACACTCTCACCTACTAGGTGTCTTGAGTGCCAAAATAAAAAGCTCCTATCAAATATATCTTTGCCTTAAGCCTTTTTTGTTTTTATCTTTCTTCTTTTCCAAGTAGAGAGCACTTGATCATCACCACATATCCAACACCATTACCATGGACTCCATCTTTGCTTTATACTTGGTTTGGACCAACCTATCTCAATTTCACACTTAGAGCAAAGAGTTAGTCTAAATAGATTTTATCAATTCACCAAAATTAAAGTAGAGCTTTTAAAAAAAATGAGCATTGAGAAGATCTTCGTGGGTTAATGAAGCATTCTATATTTTTCCATATTACAGAGATGGCACATGCTTCTAAAGGGGGAAGATGTCACATATATGAACGACAAGATCAACTCGGCCAAGGCGTGGCATAAAACGGTCTTTTGTCCACGTTGCTTTATAAAAAGCAGAGTTTTTCTTCGCAAAAAATAGATAGAAGAAGTCAAATGACCTTCTTGCTCTTGTCTATTTGACATGGTGCAGCCACTAGTTACCGGTACACATGAAGAGAAAAGAATGCGTAGGGATATATGCGTTATTTTAGGTGGTGTTTTGGTTATTTAGTCGCTCCTAAAATTTATGTCACATTAAATGTTTAGAGGTTAATAAAGAGCATTAAATATAAATTAATTATAAAACCAATTATATAGATGGAGGCTAATTTCCAAGACAAATTTTTTAAGCCTAATTAATCTATCATTAGCACATATTTACGGTAGCACCACGTTGTCAAATCATAGACTAATTAGACTTAAAAGATTCGCCTCGTAAATTAGTCGCAAGTTGTGTAATTAGTTTCATAATTAGTCTATATTTAATACTCCATACATATGTCCAAACATTCGATGTGACAGGAATTTTAGGAGGAGGGGAAGGAACCAAACAGGCCCTTAGTTGTTTACTAATTATCACCTCTGTTCTAAAAATACCTTAATTCTATGTCTAAACTATGTCACATTTTTAAACTTGACTAAGTTTAAAATTTACTATTTTTTATACATATTTGAATAAATTGAAAATTGATTGACATGGGAAAAACTAAAATTGCATTTTTTTTGGGTTTTACGGAGGGGTACGAGTAATTAAGCGGCCACATTGTGTTAGAACTGTACCTTGTTGCTGTTCACGTCAGGATTCGGTGTGCCCAATCAAACAAAAGACTTGTGTAAACGCGAAAGCACGGGTGGAACAGGATGCATCTAAGAGGAGAGCCTGCTGCAAGCAGCTAGTAGTTCTCCAGGTTACAAAATGATTGGCAAAGCATGGACAAGCTCGATCGAGATTCTAGTAGCAAAGTTCTCCAGGTTACTATTTGTAGCGTTATTCTGCTCACGCAAACAGTAATTGCTTTATGCTTCACTACTAAAACTGGGCACACCCGTACTGCACCTGATCAATTTCCAGTCGGGAGTCGGAACCCCCGTTCAGCCCTGCACGAACACGAGTACTACTGCTGCTTCGGTGCAGCTCACTGTGCTGAGCCTCCTGCTCTGGACTGCTGCCCCGGGAGAACAGTGAACAGATGAGGCAAAAGACTGGCAGGGAGAGAGATGGGCCGGCCGGCCGCCCAAAACATCCTCGAGAATATACGCAAATCTTGTGCATTAAATGGAACGGATTTGTAATCATAGGGCGCCTATAAGCCTACGCCATTAGTCTGGCGTCCTCTGCTGTCCCTACCGTCGAGTGACGGAGCCCTGTTTAGTTGGGTGAATTTGGATGTTAGTTACCGTAGTACGTTCATTTTTATTTGGCAAATAATGTTTAAACATGGACTAATTAGGCTTAAAACGTTCGTCTCGTAATTTTCCACCAAACTGTGCAATTAGTTTTTATTTTCATCTATATTTAATGCTCCATACACAGATCACAGACATTCGATGTGACAGATACTATAACAACTTTTTATACTTTAGGGTCCAACTAAACAAGGCGAGAACCCCATTGCGTCTCGTCTCGTCTCGTCTCTGGAGTCTGGACTCCGCTCGCAATTGGCAGATCGCACCGCACGCAAGGGTAGGGGGTGAAACCGCTCTCCATGGTGCACTACACGGCTAGACCAACACTCGCGGACTCGCCTGATCGCCTCCTCCAGCTCCTTCCCCTCCTTTTTATATCTCCTGCGACTTGGGACTCTACTCTTCCTCCGTCTTGCCCCAGGCCACTGACACCAACGCAGCAACAATGGCGCCCCTGAGCTCCCTCAGCCCCGCAGCCCCGGCCTACATCCCGCAGAGGGCCGCGCCATGGATCCCGCCTCCGCCCGTGCCTGGTTTCACGACGTACATCTGCATGGCCCCGCCGCCGCTGCCGCCGCCGGAGTTCTTACCGTGGCCGCCCCTGGCTCCACCTCCGCCTCCGCCTTGCTGGGGCATCCCGCAGGCCGCTTGCGTCCCGGGGGTGCGGGGACCGTTCCATGGCGGCGTGGTGCCGCACGGAGCGATGCCCATGATGACCCCCTCTCGGTCTGCTCCAAGTGCCCGGCCACGCGGCCATCTCAAGGACTCGGCAGGGATGCGACGAGCGGCGGGTCCGGCGGCAGCCGCGGCGTCCTACGGCGTGAAGGCCGCCGCGGACGCGAAGGATGCGGCGGCGACCAACCAGCCGTCCCCGCGCTCTGTGCTCGCGGTCGCTGCTCCGAGCCCGCCCATCTCGCCGACGACGTCCCTCCCTTCGTCGTTCCCGTACCAGCTGGTGCTCCCTGCGCCGCCGCCGGCCTCTGCAGCGGCGCCTTCCCCCGCCGAGGGCAGCGTGGCTGTCCGTCCACCGCAGAGACGCGGCCGGCGGCTGCGCGGGCCGAGTCGTGCGCGGCCGGCTTCCAGAGTGCTAGTGCGCCGCACCGTCAAGCCTCGGCGGCTATTCGACCCTACCTCTGAGCGGACTAGCCTCATGATCCGAAACATTCCTAATGATTTCACGTGAGTCTGCCATGTTTCCTTCTCTTTGTCGTTGCCATGTGCTACTTGGTTTTGATCTATCAATCCGGTTTTATTAATCTATATAGGCGAAGATCGGTTTACTTGATTCGTTTTGACGACGCAGGAGGACGAGGCTGATGAACATCCTCGATGAACACTGCTTCATTGAAAACGAGAAGATCGCGCTGGGCGGGGTGAGGTCGGAATACGACTTCCTCTACCTGCCTATCGACTTCCGGTAACCTTTGCCCTTGCATACTAATGGTAATGGGTCTTCTCCCCTAGCAAAGCTATCCGTGACCTCATTCGTTGCATTTGACCAGGAGCCTTGCCAACAAGGGCTACGCCTTCGTAAACATGACTTCGCCGGAGGCCGCCCGCCGGCTCTGGGAGGACCTCCACGGGCACCCATGGGCTTTCAAGCGCAGCGGCAAGACCTGCGCGGTGGACTACGCTGACCGAGAGGTACGCCTCCGCTCTGCTCACTACCTTCGTCTTCGCTTGCCCTGACCCCGCCGCCATGGCGCATCGGAATGACGCGCTTGTTCTCCGGCCGTTTGGATTCCTGCAGGGGCGTGACCAGTTGGTCGAGCATTTTTCTGGGTCGCGCTTCGACTGCCACACCGAGGCGTACCTGCCGGTGCGTTTCGAGCCTCCGCGGGACGGCACCCGGCCGGCGGACGGCGCGATGCATGTCGTCGGCAGGCTCGCCGCCCGCCCCCGCGCTGGAGATGGGAAGTAATCCATCGCCTCGCTCGCTGCACCTGGCCGCGTGCGCCGCTTCATATCTTGCGTTCTATCCGTTCAAGGGAGGAGCGGATAGAACGGGAGATACGAGTCGCCTGGCCTCTTTGATTGCCTGTTTAGTGATCTGCTTGTGGATCACTACTTTCGTTTCATATCCATGTGTTTTCCGATCTCGACTCGAACTAGCTAGGTTTAGTGTTGAAGCTCAAGTTGTTCTGTTGTATAATATGGTTTGGACCGAAGTCTGTTAGTGTGTGTGTCTGTGTGGTCTCATTTCTGAGGTTGTGATCTGATGTTGAGGCTAGAGCACGGGTGTCGTTAGTGTCAGCGGGCTAAAAACCTGTTTGTTTCCCCTGCACATGGGATTTATTGTAATTCTATTATTCCTTCGCCTGATGATAGCAGCCTCATCATCATTTAATGCTTCGCTCTTGTTTTAATTTCTTGTGGTATGAAATGGTTCTTTGAATCTTAAGAGACATGGGATATCATGTTGGGTTTACACCACGGAGCAATGCAAATTTTAGTCACTGAATGCAGACGTGGACTCATGAGCGCAACTTGTTAATTAGTACTTGTGGAGTTGGGGTCTTCAAAAGATCATCCATTTGGGTTCTTTTGAATCTGTAGTAGTACATTTTTAGGCTTAATAGTTGGATTTCGTGCTTATTATCTTGATTATGATTTTATACGTGTGAATTCATACTGAAGCTTTATGTTACTCCTACTTTTGTTCTTGTACTCGGAGAAATAGATGTAGAATTGTTTATTATAGATTTGTCGTAGAACAGTTTATTACGCTGTTTTCTGCACCAGAAGAGCAATGTTCCCTGCTAAAACCAGAAGGGCAAATTCATCAAGACATATTACTGTTTTTCCTCAAGATTTGGAGGGTCAGATTGGCTCTTCCCATCCTTTATGATTTTAGGGCGTGTGAAATGCTGAATTTTTTGGTTTTGGCTACTTTTGTTCTTGTACTTTCGAAATAGATGTAGTATAGTTTAGTATAGAATTATTCAAAGTTTATTACGTGATTTCTCATCCAACTGGGTAATTAATTTTTTTTCGCTCTATATTCATCAAGACATGTTACTGTTTTTCCTCAAGATTTGTGATAGGTAGATAAAAAAATTTGGGAACCTTTTGGGCCCTTATATACAAAGCAATTGAAGTCTAGTTTTCTACTATTCTTGTTGATTGATTTTTTTTGGCAGGGTTTGGTCCAGATTTATCTTTTGGTTGGATGCACCGCGCTTGTTTTGTCAGTGTTGGTGGATAATGTTACATGCTGGTTTCTGTTTCTCTTGAGCTGTTTTGGTGGATAATTTCTTGACTTCTATTTGTGTGCTTGATGAGTCGTGAACTCATTGATTTGCTCTACAAACTTAGGGTCCCCTTTAGAACGCAAATGAAAAGCATAGGAAATTTTAGAGGCTCCTAGTTCTATAGTAAAACTTCGAACTTTGTGTTCCAACAAAGGATAAATCTGCGACATTCCTTTGAACTACTGTAGGATGTCTGAAACCATAGTAATTTTAGAGAAAAACTAGCATGGGCTTGGATCCCATAGAAGTTTTTTATTTTGTCCGTCTCTTAGAATTCCTGTACTTTTTCCCGTGTTATGTTCAAAGGTCACAGTCAAAATTTTCTTACATTTTGAATTACTCAGTTTACAAGTTTCATTCAACTTTAATACTACGTTTTTTTTATTCCTGTGTTTTTTTTATTCTTGATGTTTGCTTGAATGCCTATAGATACAAAACAAACTTTATAAATACACAACAAAAACCTTATTATTGCCTTGAAGGATAGTGGCACGTTATGGCCATTATCTTTAGCTGTTATTTAATACATAAAACATGTCTGTGTGTTGCATACAGACTGTTAAGCTTGTTACATGGATGCCGTAGTTTTCCACGCCTGACCGTCGGCTACATCAAGTGCAGCGCGTAAAATCGAAGTCACACTTGTGATAAAGTTTGGTATGGAAATGAGTCTATGTGTGAGATAGAGTGCTAAGAAAGTGTGGCATGCCATAGTTGCGGTGGTGAACCAAGCAGCTGTTGATGGCATGACCAACCTTTGGTGATGCAAGTTTTGGTCATGAACCAAAGTTTGTGCTGTAGTTTGCCATGCCAAAACTTTGGCAAATTGTGTCCCCCATAAAAAGTTTGGTGGGCAAAATTGAAGCTACACTTGCAAATTTCGCAAAAAAATGAGTATGACACGTGAGACAGGGTGCTAATAAAATGTGGCAATTCGTATTGGTCACCAACGCTTGTGTTTATGGAGTGTGTTAGGATTATCTTACTATTTACAAATTAGAGGCCCAAGTAAATCTTTAATATTCAACCTGTTCGCTTCGTCGTATTTGGCTTATAAGTCATGGCTTATCAATCAACGAACAGTATTTTTTCTCTCACACCAAATCAGTCAACAGTACTTTCAATCATGACTTATAAGCCAAACAAGTCCAAACGAACAGGGCGTAGAAAAAAAATTCTCGTGCAAGGCTTTAGAAAAAAAATCTTTTATAGTTATCCAAAAACCAATAATGCGTTCAGCCATGCATTTGATACTTCAATAACCATTCAATGAATAGTGGCATCAGGTCTATTTTGGTTTAAAAATTTTACCAACCACTGTCATCACAAAAGTCACAAAAATTTCCGAAGTAACCCTAAATCTTGATATGCATTACCCATCATTGCCATTGTGTAAAAATAATATTAAACAGCCCTCTAATTTTCATCTAAATTATACGCATATACTATTTTGAGAAATATTATAGAGTAACTTAGATTTGTATCTAAATTACTCACTCAAATTGTAAACTAAAGTAATTCCTAAAATATGAAATTATCCACCTCTATCGTTATATAGAATATTCCAAAATCCTTTAGTAGTGCTTTTAAGTTACCCATTTTCATCATTGTTAATATAAAAAGAACTGACTCAAAATAGACATGCATGACATGTGTCCCTATATGTTTATTTATTCATATATACGCAATGGAACCCATGAGCATATCGATTTCTAAGCCAAAAGATAGATAAAGCTAAGGTTTGCACTAAATGTGAGGAACACATGAAGGTGCAAAGCATAGGGGCGGAGCTCGGTGGAGGTGAATTTAGACTCACCCTTCCTCAGAGCAACTTCACTAGTCTCAATAATCGTGTTCGATGGTGGCAGTTTGTTGGAGAAGATAAACATGACATGAATGTCAGTAGAAACTATGTTTACTAAGGGGGTATGGCTGAATGGGTTGTGTAACACCTGTGGTGTTACGAGCTCGTTTAGCACAGAGATTATGGCCTGAGAAATAGATCTATAAGTATAGTGAGTTAACCTAATCTCTAGTTATATGGATAAGTTAATAGTTTGACTTAAAAAGTGATTTTTATAAAACAATAATAATCTAGAACGTGTGTTTGGGATTTTAATAAAAATTGAAGTACAAGTGGAGTAGATGAAAACACAACTTGGGTTGTGGAAAACAAATTTGTTGACTAGGGTTTTTGCCAGCTCAAAAATGAAATCGGAAATTAAAATTTGTCCTTTTCGTTGAATCGAAAAAATTTGAAGTTACGTTGAAAGTACACTTTTTGGCGATTTTTAAATGCAAAATAGTTAAATAATGCCCTGATGTTTTTGTTCTATTGTTTGATATAAAGTGTGTACTATATCGTGAAATGGTTGTTGGTGAAGTTTGGTAAAGTTTAGACCGTTTAAAAATTAACCAAAAGTGCTTAGAAACATTAGTTCTAACTGAAACCTAGAATTATTTTAAGTATAAAATGATAGTAGACAATGCCATTTTGGCATTCGATTTCCAACAAAATGGTTAAGCAATCGCATCTTTTTTCGTTTTCGATTTTACGATTAGGTGTATACTTACCGCGTGGTTTACGTTAGAAATTACGATACATGTATACTTACACATGACTCCTCGTGGTGCGTCTTCGTGCCGTTACGTTAGAGTTACTCTGCTCACGCAAAAAAGTATTGACCGAACTTCGTTAGAACGCGTTGAGGGCATGTCGTTGGCGCCTGCTCGTGAACCGACAAAGTCCCCGCCGAGCGATCTCACCACCGCCCCTTCCGCTCACCTCAACTACCTCGCCCTCTCCGCCTCACCGCCACCGCATCCCACCTACCGAATTGCCCTAAGCTATCCTCGCCTATCAAGCTCTCTCACATTCTCAAAGATGAAGCAAATGAAGACCATGACTTGGTGCCTGTCATGGTGATGATCAAGTGCTTGAACTTAAAAAGAAGAAAGAGAAAATAAAAGGTTCAAGACAAAGGTATAAATGGTAGGAGCCATTTTATTTTGATGATCGAGACACTTAGTGAGTGTGATTACATTTAGAGATAGTGTAGGGGGGCGATCTCGCGATTGTCCACTAGATGCTCTAACTCATCGCATTCATCTTAGGATCTAGTTTTGCCACCCTTAAAATATTTGCCTATGCTAACGTCCAAGGTGATACACTCTCTCTTTCTCTCACTTCACCGGCGCCCTAGGCCGTCAAAAAGTCGGAGGCGTTGCTAAGTGACCGGACGTTGGTTCCTCGGTTGGACCGGCGTGTCCGGTCATGAAGCCTTACGCCGCGCCGTCGGTCGCCACACGCAGGGTCACTTAGTGACCAGACGCTAGAGGGTTGCTTCCGGGACAACACCTGCGAAGTCGCCAAGTGATCGCCCACCCACCATGACGCACCGTCCGGTCAAAAGTCCACCCGATGTTGTGCCCAGTGAAGGGGTACAACGGCTCTATTTCGTGGGGGGGCTTCTATTTGAGCCCCATGGCCGACTCAAACTCACTCTCTTGGCCACTTGCATTGACATAGCAATCTTGTGAGCTTAGCCAAAGCCCTCCCACTCATCTCCATCATTGATTCATCATCTTTGTGAGATTGGGATAGAATCCAAGTGCATTGCTTGAATGTTTGTATCTAGAGGCACTTGGTGTTCGTGGTTCGCTGCGGGAT